AATTTTAATAATATATTTTATAGGTCGCACAACTTTTCAACCACACATTCTATCGACTTTTGTCAAAATCTTCTAAAAATCTGATTTTAATCCCCGTCAAATTGGGGCTTTGTTTATACGTGTAAAATAATTAAATACAAACAAAAAACAGAAATTGGGAAGGAATTAAAATACAAAACAAAAAGTTTGCTCATGCCAACTCTTTATTTCAGGGGCTTGCTTCTTAGACGCAGGAGAGAATCTTCCATCTCAAGACGCAGGAGAGAATTAACAAAGATCCAAATTTGAACAAAGCGTGTTTTGCTGTTCAAAATGTAAATGTTCCTTTTTCTAATCATTGCTGTACTGTAGTATGCCCAGAATACCCTCTGTAGATTATTTTTTCAACAATACCACTTTTGTACCCAGTATTATAACACAACGAAGATAGATAATATCAAAATTACAAAAAAATTCCTGACTCCTCTTTTTAAATCCATTCCAAAATATGTTGGTGTCATCAAAAGAATTTATTCCTGACTCCTCTTTTTATTTGAATGGAAAAATCATAAATCAATCTGAAACTTCATTCGATTACATATAAATTTTGAAAATGCAAAAAATTGTTAAAAGAAATTTCTAAAATTCACCCAAATATTTGACATGATACGTCATGAAATTATTGAGCCCGAACTTGACCACCTTCCCCGAACTTGGTAGGCTCCAATTAAGCATGTGCCAAGCTCGGGCCTTACGACGAGGTCGAGCTCCAAGCACTTTCGTCAAGTCTCTTTGGCCTTATCTCACATCTTCTAGAAACAGTAATCATATTTTGATTACAACTCTCCACTTTTCCTATTTGAATACAAACTCTCAATCTATCACAAATTCGACTCTAATTCAAACTGTGCACTTCACAAACACATTGCATGACAATAATGACTACTACAGGAAGTTGGATCATTTTAGGACTTCATCTCCAACACCTATAAATGCATAATACAACCTCATTATTCATTTACGTTTTTATTAATATTCCAGCATACAGTCTTTTGCGCAATTTCTCTTTCTGACTTAAGTATCGGAGGGGCGACGAGAACACATCTCGATGCCTTTGTTTCGGTATTGAAGATCAGTTCGTGCGGAATCCAATCATCCAATTCGAGTTCATTCATGTACAAGTTTTTAGTAGCATCAGACGCAATGTAATCGATTAGGTTTAAAAAATAAGAAATAATAAAAATCAATAAAATATGTGATTGAAAAGTCAATAAAAATTATGAATATCATGAAATATATTATTAAAATTAATAATTTATTGTTAAACTTTTT